CACTCTCCACCGTTGTTGTTTTTTTTTTTTTATTTTTTTTTTTTGAGGTTTTTGTTATAGGGCATGTGCGCTAGCCAGAAAAAGAGAGAGAGACAGAGAGATAGAAAGTGAGAAATCACCCGCCCGGGGGATGGCCATGCCGCAATCCCTTCTCCTCCATTCTCCTCTTGGGATCTTGGGCACACACGCACATGCGCCCGGTGTGAGTTTAAGCTACCAGGACTCTAACCACTGTTGACTACATGGGAGTCCAGGGACATAGCCATTACCCCAACTGCTGGTCTACCACCGTGCTGTCTTCAGGGAGTGCTATGTCCTCTTGCATACTCCAAATGTCCATGAGTGTCCTTACGTGTCCAAATGGGGACGATCATAGCCTTTCCCTCAAAACATCTCCAGAGACAAAACACGAAGGGAAGGTCCCGACAATAATGCTGTAAAAGGAATAAGGAAGTGAAGAAATAAAGTAAAAAATGGATAAACCAGTTTCATTCTAACAAATACTTATTGCATACCTGCTATGTGCCAGGCTCAGTTCTAGGCAGTGGTACTAGAGCTGTGAACAGGAAGGCAGACGGGCCTGGCTCACTGAACTGATGTGGGGGAGACAGTCAGTAAGGCAGGTGAGCACTGCCCAGTCGGAGAGGGCTCAGAGTGGGATGAGGGGCACTGAGCTGTGGAGAGTGACTGGAGGGCAGTCAGGGAAGCCCTCTCTGGGGAGGCATTTTTTTTTTTTGGAGAGGTTTTTCGCTATAGGGCGCGTGTGCTCGCAGACAGACAGAGAAAGACATAGAGACAGAAAGCGAGAAATCACCTCCCAGGGGGGACGGTCACGCCGCAATTCCTTCTCCTCCATTCTCCTCTTGGGATCTTGGGCATGCACACACACGCGCCCGGTGTGAGTTTTAAGCCACCGGGTCCGGGATGCGAACTGTGCTCGACTACGTGGGAGTCCAGCGACATAGCCATTACACCAACTGCTGGTTCCCTGGGGAGGCATTTTTTGAGCAGAGACTGAAAGACAGGGAAAAGTGTTATGGGCTGAGGGAACAGGAAACCCCCCCTGATAGAACAGGTGGAAGGAACGGCAGAGAGGCCAGAATGGCTGGAGAAGTGTGAGGTGAGGTCTGGGAGTTGGCCTTGGTCGTCGAGATGGTGTCAAGGTATTTGAGTTTTGTTTGTTTGTTTTATTTTAGTTTTTTTTTTTTTTTTTTTACCATAGAGTATGTGTTCTCTCTAGAGAGAGACAGATGGAGGGAGAGTGAGAAATTACCCCTCACCCCCGGGGATGGCTATGGAGTTTGGGTACGCACATGCAAGTGCTCAACGTGAGTCTCAAGTCTGTATGTCTAGGGCTCAAACCATGGTTGTCCATGTGGGAATCCAGGACCTTCACCACCACGCCATCCGCCGGCCCTGGTGCTTGGGTTTTACATTGAGCATAAAGGAAGCTTCTGGAGAGAGAGAGCAGGAGAGGCCACGTGCTGATTTGTGTTCTGAAGGGAGACGGGCTGCTGTCCGAGTAGGCTGCCTATAGGGCGAGGGGGGCGGCAGGACAGAGGAACCTCACAGAGGCTGGGACCAGCGCAGCAGTGAGGGGGGGAGCAATGATGGGACTCGGGATAAAGTGTGGAATAGAGCGTCCCAGACTGGCTGAGGGGCGGCATGTGGGAAGTGAGAAGAGGATTCAGGGGTGAGGTCAGTGGTTTGGGCCTGAATGGATGACGGTGCCGTTCACTGAGATAGAGAACTGAGACCCAAACACAAAGCAGACAAGTTCATAGCGTTCTTATAGAAGTTTACCGCCAAAGGATGATTTTACAAAATGGGAGGGATAACTGGTCCTCACACATGCACAGCTGCAGGCTCCGTTCTGTGCCCTCCCACAGCAAGCTGGAACTTTCATTTTTTAAAACTTTTTGCTATAGGGTGCATATACTTGCTGGAGAGACAGAGACAGAGAGAGAGGGGGACAGTGAGAAAGCACACCCCAGGAGGGATGACTCTGCAATCCTTTCGCCTCTTGGGATTTGGGGCATGCGTGCACATGTGCCTGGCATGTTTTTCAAGCCGCTATGTCCAAGACTTGAACCACACAGTTGGCCGTGTGGGATCCAGCTGCCTTAACCACCACACCACTGGCCGGCCTGAGCCTGAGCAATGGGGCACCCTGGGGGTGGAGTAAGAGGGTCGCCTGGAGGAGAGACGTGACTTCTCCAGGGTCAGAGACTGTTAGCCAGTGGCACAAGCTGTTATGAATGGCTGCTCCAGGTAAGAGTTTAATGTCAGCAGAGTGCCTGCTCGGGGGTGCGGGGGAAGAGTGCAGGGCTCAGAGGTGGAGTTTGTACGGCACAATCACATGGACGTGTAAGTTTAGATTCCTATTAGTCAGACAGGTCAAGAAATTGTGAGATTGCATAGGAGTTATAAGAACCAGCAGTTCAAGAGAGATGTTGAGGCTTGAGATAAGACTGTAGGCCCTGTGGCCGAGTGGCTAGGGGTCTGGATCCTACACAGCTTACCATGGTTTGAATCCTGGCCCTAGTGGCTTGAGAAGCACACCAGGCATGTACTCATGGACCCAGAAACCTAACAAGATGGAGAAATGGAGGAGAAGGGATTGCCCTGTGACCACAGCCCACTTGGGGGAGCTTTCTCCCCATCTCTCTGACTCTGGAGAGCACACATGCTCTCTGGCAATGAAAGAACTTTGAAGAACTTGATTATGAAGTGTGGCTTTCTCTGTTGCCTCTGGTCAAGTCCTAGTTCCCAGCCCAACTCCATTCCGAAGATCAACTAAAGCTATGCAATCACTAGCGCTTTTTGAGGACTTGCTGTTTGCCAGAGGCCACACTAAGAGTTTCACCTGCGGGGCCAGCAGGTGGTGTGGAGGTAAAGGTGGCTGGATCCCACATGACCCACTGAACGGTTCCAGTCCCAGACCCAGGGACTTGAAAAACATACTGGGCACGTATGTGTGCATGCCCAAAATCCTGAGAGGAGAATGGAGGAGAAGGGGTTGTGGCATGGCCATTGCCCCCAGGGGGTGATTTCTTAGATTCCCTCATTCTCTCTGTCTCTGTCTGTCTCTCTGGCAAGTGCATGTGCCCTATGACAAAAATCTGTACAAAACAAAAACACTCTGATGTGTGTGGGATTTCAGCATGGCTTTCTCGCACCCTCTGGCAATTAAAAAACAAAGAACAAACAAATAAGCCAAGAAATTGAATAGCTTTTCCCAGGTTGCATAGGTGTAAGTTGCAGATTTAGGACTTGAACTCATGTCCAGTGGTTCCAAATCTATGTACCACTCCCCAGTACTGATTACTGTTGATTCCTATATGCCAGGAGCCACCACTAGCCATCAGTTTTCTCTCTCTCACTCTTTTTAACTGCCAGAGGAAGCGTATGCATGCTAGAGAGAGAGACAGAGAGAGGGAGAGGAAAAAGCACTCCCAATGGGGTGTGATCAGGCTGCAATCTCCTTTCTACTTTTTCATTCTGTTGGG